GCAAACTCTTTGGTTCAAATGTGAGGGTGGGAACTAACTAAGTTTCTAGCTAATGACCGCTCATTACTGTCACAGCGAACAACTTGCCAGAAGGAACGGTTTAACTGGGCGTGGGTGAAACTGGATGCACTTAAATTGGAAACCACAGAGAATCCACAAGTCCTTTAAAATAGGTCACCATTTAAAGACCTCACGATTCAATCCGAGTCGGATTCAGAAAGTCACAAACACGATTCTTGATGCATCACAATTTTTTAGCAAATCTAAAGAGCGGATTTTCAGTGAATTAAAGTGGCTCGTGCAAACTTCTGAGACAAGATTCTGTAATATAGTCCTACTTTCTCTGCAATAGACCTGAAACAGAAATACAGTAAGTGAGAATATTATGGATTGATCCACAGTCATCGATAAATATTTTTCTCCACCACTATAAGAGTTGTAAATTTGTGCGACTCGGTTAGTAATTTACAATGCAAGCATTTAGCCGTATAATTCATTAAACAATCACACATGTTCAGACTGACTCTGCACTCAGTGTAACGTAAACTCAGCAGCGTTTGATTCTCTTCAGCTGCTCTTTTTTATGCTGATGGTCCTTCTTTAAGCTTTGGACGGTGAAAGGTCATTGGACGAGGCTGAAGATTCTTCCCTGTGTGCGGGGCTCTCTTCCAGTGATCTGTCTGTCCCATCTGAACCGAGTCAAACTTTCACATCAAGAGAGCAAAGCAATATTGATCAAATCATTTAACTCAAGGCAAATAACATAAGCTTACTGCTAAAAAAGACTAACCTTAAGAGCGATCCAACACAACCTCTGAACTCTCCCATATTTCTGAAGTGAGTGCATGAGAGCGAAAACTCTAGAAAACTCTAGAAAACTTTCTGTCCAGCCCAAGAGGATCTGCTGCTTACAGCAGTGTGTGCCTGAAGCTTTCAACCGCTGGAGAACATCAGCAAAACTCTTTAATATATATATATATATAACTCTAATAAAGCAATGCAGATCTTCAGCTACATTTAGACACTGCATGCTGTTATAAACAAACTAAATAATACTCAGTAATATTAACATTAGACTCGTTACAGCAGATAACTTGAGTCTACTGATAAAATAGGTAAAAGTGGAATTACATAAATCAATAAATTAAAACAGTAGAGTATATTTCACATTACACTTGTGCCAAAAATTCAGAAATGAACGAACAGCTAGTATTTAAGGAATACAAACGATATAAACGTAGCCAAGCTTATTTTAATACAGGTTTTACATGATCAAAAACGCTATTGTACAACTTCAAGCTTACAGTCAGCTGATATTCTGTACTTTAAGACGTGAACGCAATGGAAGAATCTGAACAGCATCATCATCAGAAACACTGTAGCAATAAGAGCTCTGTAAAGGTCAGATGTCAAAGGTAACGTTATTATGTTGCTGTCGCGTGGAACGCAGAACTGTTACAAATCAAACAGTCGGCGTAAATGGTTGAAATGTAACAGCGCTTACCTCGGTCTGAGTGGAAAGAGCAGCTAGTTCAGCTGTTTTGCAGTGCTTTTAGTCGCTGCCACGTACAGAAGAGCCTCACAACACTTTCCACTCGCGCTCACAATCCTTCTAATAAACGCGCACTCACATTCCCGAACTCCATGATGAGCGCCTACATCAGGAAAAACATTTCACATACAGCCTTTAACAGCGTCAGATATTACATAATACTCGAGTACAATCCATCTGCGTATTAGAAGTCAATGACTCTTTAATGGCATGACAGAACACCGTGCAAACGCAGATGAAGGATAATGGTTTTTCTCGACCTGAAAATATGAAAGAGAAGACCGTTCTGGCAGAACTCACTTGTTTTCATCCTCTCATGTTCAAAAACAATCAAATACAGGTTGCTGGATGTTGTTAATCGAGGCGTTTAATAATTAGTTTAGAGGGTTCCTCCCTGTAGAGTCCGAGCTCGATACGACACTAAAAACCAAGGCGATACACGATGACTTACGGTAAAACGAAACATGATGCACAAGCGTTCAGTAATACTGACTATGATGTCTGTCACATAATGGAAATAAGAATTATACAGGAGAGCAACAACATATGCAAGTTGTCATAAATACAGGGGTAGCCTATCCTCGGTGCTTGTTTGCATGAATTATTCTGTACAAAAACTAAAAATCATTTTGGAATCTTTTGAGGCATCATGTGATGTTGCTAAAAAGAACATTATTTGGTGTATTTGGTGTAATGAAATGTGTTTATGCGGTTTAAGGTTCACAAAACACATTATTTTCCACATACTGTACATTATTGTTTCTCCTCTATGCCCCGCCTTTCTGAAACGTGTCGATTTTTACAAAGCTCATCGGTCTGAAAAGCGAGGTGTGTTGTGATTGGCCAGCTATCCAGTGCGTTGTGATTGGTCGAATACCTCAAGCGTGTGACGGAAATGTTACGCCCCTCACCATACTGTGATGCCCTGTCCGGCCGGAGCGACGAGTCAGCGACCAGCACAGATCAGCTCTAGGCATGACGAAGCTCAGGAGGACTATAAAGGTTGCACTCACACACATCGCTGAGTATTGTGTAGCCTGTAATGTTTTCTAGTTTCCGTGTTTCCTGCCCTTGTTTTCCTTTGCCTTGCCTTCGTGTTTTTTGGATCTTGGACTGTTTACCTGTTTTTTTACTATTGTTTTGCTGCCTGCACTGACTATTGCCTGTTTATGGATTACTCTTTTGGATTACCTTGGATGTTACTGTTTGCTGGTATTTTGACCATGCCTGTTCTTGACTACGCTCTTTAAATAAAGCCTTGCATTTGAATCCTTAACTCTGTTGTCACGCTCCGAACGTTACACCGAGATAGCTTGAAGAACAGATAAACCATATCGTATACTGTCACAATCATATGTTTATTAGATTGATGTTTCATCAGGTAAAATGTCTCTATCTGCATTTTATTCAGTTACACTGATAGCTGGATATCTTTGTCCATTTTAGGGATTTCCTGGAGTGTCTTCAGTTCTATTACTTCTGTGAGTCTCACTTGTGGAGTTTCTGCACAAGGGCGCCTTCGGCTACCAGTATGAATGAAACAAACATTACATTACGCGTGTGTTCACTAATGCTCCCACAACCCCCTATTTTGGATAAAAATTTGAGAAATAACTCCTTTTCTCTAAAGAAATTGGAAGTAAACATCCATATCCATACATTTTTCTCCAGTGTAAAGAAGTGAACAGGGGTTATTTTTCTTTCAGTGGATGCATAAGATTTCCTGACAAACATTAAGAAATTACTGTGACAGATGTTTTATCATAATAATGTAATATTTTATAATAAAACCGTAGACATTTCTAATGATTTATAGTTATATGCCCCTGCACGTTATCGGGGTAAACAAGTGTAAATTATGCTTGCACACTAATTAAAGCATAATAATTATTTTGAGTTGTTTCCAAGGACAAGAGGCAGAAACACCCTGCAATGTAGAATGTGGCCTGGGTGATGGTAAATAGTTTTTTTTCATCAGCTTAGTCTTTACTCTGCTTGTGTTCTACATGGTGGATGTTCAACCTGGATACATTCATTAGCTCTTCAAAAAAGTTATTTTGTATTAATGTATTAATATGATGTGAGGTCCAGTTACCAGCGTGACACTAAAACAGGTAGTAATGGCTAGGTTTTACTTAAGTACATGTCAGAGCCCATACTTCTTTACTTTAACTTGAGTAAAAAAGTGTAGTCAGTACTTTTACCAGAGTCTTTTTAAACCTGAGTATCTGTGCTTCTACTTCACTCTTAAAAATAAAGGTGCTTCACGATGCCATAGAATAACCTTTCTGTCTAAATGGTTCCATAAAGAACCTTTAACATCTGAAGAACCTTTCTTTCGTTGTGGCGAAAGAAGGTTCTTCAGATTATAAAAAGGTAAGAAAGGGATGGTTCTTTAAAGAACCTTTGACTGAATGGTTCTTTGCGGAACCAAAAATGGTTCTTCTATGGCATCGCTTGAAGAACCTTTTGAAGCACCTTTATTTTTAAGAGTGTTGAGTGAAGGATGTGTGTACTTTTGCCATCTCTGGAAGACTGAAAGTGTGTAGAACTTTTGATTACCCACTAGGACACACTTTTTACAGCGTTTTATTTGCACCTGTTGATTTTCGATACTTTGCACTTTAAAATAAACCTCTAAATGTCTGTTCAGTAATGTAACTTATGTAACAGATGACACATAAGAGATAAAAAGCAGTATTTTACAAAATACACATACTCATCTCTGCACCAATAAAATGTGCAACATTTTATGTTTTACTACCAAATTATATGTAATATCTAATTAGTCTTACTTACAATGGAAGGTCCGCAAAATATCACATTTTCAGAGCAAATGCGTTCCTGAACATGATGAGTGATGGTTACGCTGAAGTGCTATTAGAGATTTAGTGTGTTTTGAGCTTCGGCAGTTTTCAGATTTGGGACAGTCTCACGCACCTACTATCTGTCACATGCACATATGTGACCCTGGACCACAAAACCAGCCATAAGGGTACATTTTTCAAAATTGAGAGGCTGAAGGCTAAATAAGCTTTCCATTGATGTGTGGTTTGTTAGGATCGGACAATATTCGGCTGAGATGCAACTATTTGAAAATCTGGAATCTGAGGGTGCAAAAAAATCTAAATATTGAGAAAATCATCTTTAAAGTTGTCCAAATGAAGTTCTTAGCAATGCATATTACTAATCAAACATTAAGTTTTGATATATTTACGGAAGGAAATTTACAAAATATCTTCATGGAACATGATCTTTACTTAATATCCTAATGATTTTTGGCATTAAAGAAAAATCTATAATTTTGACCCATACAATGTATTGTTGGTTATTGCTACAAATATACCCCAGCGACTTAAACACTGCTTTTGTGCTGCAGGGACACATATTCTCAAGCGGTCAAGACTGCAAGTGTGGGTATTGGGACAGACCCCTGGTCTCACATTAAACTCACACTAACCAGCAACTACTCATCAACTTAAGACCCTTAAAAGCTTAATGTTTTACCATTTTGGACATTTTTAGTCCACGTACAACCTTTCCTTTGTCAGCAATTTTTTTCTTAACATTCATCCTCCTGGTGTACCTTGTCCCTCACTTCAAACCTGCCCTCTTGCCCCCTTTTATTCCATCATCTTCCTCATTTTTCCCTGACATGTTCTACATTCTCCGGGACAGCGTCTTGTACTTTTGAAAGGTCACAGAAGCCATTGGATAAGGATCTTGTTGCAGCCATTCTCTCAACCTGGTCTTCTTTTACCTGAGAGAAAAACACAAATATTAGCCAAATCAGCAGAAAAAACACAGTGCATAAATCTGATTAATTACACCTTCAAACCAGAGAATGCATCTACAAAAATAACAATATCTCAGCATAAGACCCACCTGATTAGTCATAAGTATCCGCTAAATGGGCACCTTGACCCTCAGTCAAACGTAAAGTATGGCATGTCAAAGTCTATAGAAAAAAAATCTAAAATGCATTCAGAAGCTCCTTCTGCATTTCTGGTCTTCATATGATAGACACATCAATTATGATCACAGTACTAATCAGTTATCACACAAGTGTACCGGAGTCAGTCACTATTTAACCCAAAAACTAACACTGATAAAGAAAGCTCGCAGTTTTATTAGAACAGTAGTTCTCAAACTTTTTACTAAGGCAAGACCCATTTTAATGACTGTCTGGCCAAGATTGCGCCTTCAACTGTACATGGTTCATTCTGACGGCACCCATTCACTGCAGAGCATCCATTGCTGAGACACTGATCTGTTCCAAATGAAGTTCAAAATCTGTTTCAATGAAGAAACAAACTCTACATCTTGGATGGCCCGAAAGTGAGAACATTTTAAGCAAATTGTAATTTCTGGGTGACCTATTCCTTTCAGCTGAAACTACAGGAACTCGGAGGACTCCTAGTGGTAAGATAAGATGTTTGTGAATGAACAAGAAAAGACCTGTTTAGTATGAACATGCTCTGTTCATATTTTGTAAAATGTGAAAACACAGTTGCTACCTAAAAAAGCTACAGTATCTCTACCTGACCTGACTTATATAAATGACATAAGATTGTGTGCGTACGTTGGTTTTAAATAAAACAAGTTACTACCAGAAGCACAATTTAGGATGACAAACATTTGCCAAAAAAAAGTAAAGTGCACTTTACAAAATAATTGTTTTCTTATTTATATAAAAAGACATAGTAAAGAAAATGAGACCTGGCTTACCTTGTCAAGGTCATTTGTCCTGCACAAGCTCTTTATGAAAATTCCAGCACAGGGTATTTTAATCAGATTAAAACTTTATTACTCTGTGTGTGTGTGTGTGTGTGTGTGTGTGTGTGTGTGTGTGTGTGTGTGTGTGTGTGTG